AAAAAAATAGATAGAACATCTCATTCACATCTATTATATATAAATATAATAAATATGGATTGAATTGGCTTCACGAGGCAAGCAGCAGTGTTGTTCATATATATCCATCCCCACAAGAAAGCTGAAGATGACTGTGAATGAGTAGATGAGGATGAGGATTGGTCTGAGTCTGACTAGAAGAAGCTAAAGATTTTAAGTAAGAAACGGACCAAACGCTAAGTTCTCATCATTTGTTTGTTAAATAATCATAATCCGCGCCATCGCTCCGCCGCGTTACCACCTAACATTAATTAATTAATTCCTGATGTGGTATCAAAGAGGATGTTAATCCTCATTCATACATGGTGAGAATGGGATAGGTTATAGGTAGGCGTTGGACTCGGAAACTCTTAACAGTAAACCCAATTATAATAAAATAATAAATTTGGTTAAATGGCCGATCTGGTTAGCTCCATTCTCATTTCTTGAATTGTGCCCTTGCTGCATGCAAATTGCAATCCTTTAGCAGAGTCTGAATTTGCTGGAGACAATCATGCACACCGGGCTGGGCAATAATACATCAGTATTGCAGTGTTGCCTATTCATAAGATGTGGGTCACACGTGGATACCTTGTATATGGCACACTAGTGAGTTCACTCGTGATAGATTAATTGCCCAGCCCGGTGTGCGTGATTTTGTTTGTAATCCATCCATGTGCCCATTACAACTCTTCTAGACCTGTAAACACATTGAATTCAGCCAGATATATCCAAATTTCATTGATTATATATTCACATATTATATGTTATTAATAAATTAAACTAAAAAAAATCAAAATATTATATTATTAATACAATGAATTAAAAAAATAGAAATTTTATATTTCATGATCAAAATAAATTGAAATTTGTTTGAGTGACACTTGAAAGTCTAATTAAAGTGCTTAGCAAATAAATAAAAAAAAAAATCAATCACATTAAAAATCATCTCACACACTATTTACTTTAACTTGGGTGAAAGACTTAAGCATATCCTAATTTTTTCAAATAGATTTATATATATCTTATGACATGATCTCATTGGACTTAACTCTTAAGCATACCCTCATTTGTTCTCCCGTTTTATATAACTTCTTTTAACATTTTAAAATTGCTATTTTACCCTTTGAAAAGATGGCCTTACTGTTCATCTTCTTCTATTCTTCCTACCCAACTAAGAACCAGCTGCATTGGTTCAAGAAGGTCCTTTATGAGATGTTGTGGGGGGTGGTGTAGAAGGTGATTGTTACTTTGGTTTGGTCTCTTTGGTGGTATTCATTGGGGCCTAGGTCTTTTTGGTTTTTTTTTTTTTTGAAAATTTGGAGACTGATGAAGGGTGAAAAGTCCTTTTAAGGTCATAAGGAATATTTAAGTTTATTTAAAAAACTCAGGGTATGTTTAAGTCAATTTATAAACTCATGGTATGTAGTAAGTCTTTTTCCCTTTTAAATTGATTCATGCTTAAGTGCTTCACAAGGTGTACTTAACATTAAAGACTTTAACAATGTAATGTTACTTGTGAATCTCAATTTATCACAAGTATACTTTTTTTTTGCTTCATGGGCGCGTCTTCCAACCCATAACAGGCTGATTCAACCCCAAGTCTTCACTACAATCAGCTAAAGAACTTACCAACTAGCTAGTTGGTACCTTGCTTTTTATTGCCTAAACTTGAACATATGATAATTTAGTTTTTTTTTTCTTTTTTTCTGGAAAGCTAATTAGACTGTGTCTATTCACCAATTCATGAAAATGCACACACCCCTCAAACTTATAGATTCTGGGAAAAAGGGAAATGAACCTAACTAACCAATCTAGAACACTTTAAAAGCATCTCTAGCTAAGAGTTACAACAATAAGACCAACTTTACTATGATATTATATAAACTTTTAACTATATTAGTAAGCATGCACATGCTTTTCACGTACCAATTTTATATGATGATAATGATAGTAATAATGTATCAAAAAATTTATATTAATATGTATTTTTATTTTTTGTTTTTTTGTTTTTATATTTTAATTATTAATAGATTGCAGATTGCAAAATCCAAATCTGATTACATAAAAAACCCCATCCAAATATCATTGGATTAAGTTTGGAGCTTTACATATCATTGATAGGCCTACCTACTTGGTTGGATTCTTTTTTTTTTTTTGTAATGTTTTATCTTTTTGGTGTATCTTATTTTTTATTCATTTATCAAAGAAATGTAAGATTTAAATAGAGATAATTGAATGAGGTGAATGATATTGTTTGATCCAAGGTGTCAAGCTGAACATACAATAGATAGTCCTGCCAATTGGACGAGGTCGAGGTGGAAGGACGAGGTTGTGCACCGTAGTCTACAAGCATAGAGAGAATCAAGGGCCTGAGGAATTTATCCCTAGTTAGGCACTTCGACGCTCAAGTTAGTAATAAAGAGAGAGAGAGAGATCAGTTGGGCTGAGCAAGTAGACAACTGGTCCAAGCTGAGGAGAGTAATATGTGCTAGATCCCAGTAAGCTTACCTTGAGGTGTAGATGCCTTTATATGGACCGAACACCCATGTTGTAGTCGGATGAGATTCGTGGGGTTGTCGGGATAAGGTCACCACCGAGGTTCTTAGGAGGTCCTACTCTCCCTGGCGGGCTACGTCTCTTTGTCCGTGCGAGACTCTGCTTCCTCATGAGGCCTCTTCATGACACAGTTATGATGGCACATGCTGACGTGGTCCAAAGTCACTAGCCACGGAGGTAGATCACGTGATAGCTTTGGCCAGCTAAGGTATCACCCAAACAATGAAAAAGTAGTAGTAAGGGTGTCAATGGACTGGTTTTGGACTGAACCCTATCCAATTCAAAATCTATTTTGATTAGACAGACCAACAAGACATATTGGATTGGACCAATCCGGTCCAAAATATTTATTAGATTGGATTGGACCTAGTCCATCTGTAATAAATTCATATTGGATTGGGTTGGATTAAGTCAATATCTGGTCCATTGATATAAGATAAGAATATAGGTGCCAATGGACTAGGTTTGGGTTGAAACAAATCTAAATTAAAACAAATTTGAGTAGATTGGATAGTCTAAACATTAAATTGAACAGGTCCAAAATATTTACGGTATCCAATTAGACCAAATCCAATTCAATTGACACCTCTAAGTAATAGTTCAATTTACAATTTAAACACCACAATTAAATAGAGACTTAATTCAAAATTGAGTATTTTAGTTAAAAGAATGTTTAACAATCTTCTTATTCATATTTTTAATAGTAGTGTAATATAGAATTATAGGTGTGTTCAATTTTTTTTTATAATTTTTTTTGTATTTCCATGTGTAAAAAATAACTTTGATATGTCACATTTACTTCTTGTTTAATATTATAATTATATGATATTGTACATGTGCCTGAATGTTTTTTTTTTGTAAAATTTGTTCATTTTTTTTCATTTTGTATTTTTATATTTTATTAATTTTTATTGATTTATTTATGACATTAAACACTTACAAATTTGACCTAAAAGTTGAACTATTGATCTTTGCCAAATAGTAAAATAATTTCATTTTTGCTTAATTCTAAGTTATGTATTTAATTTTCATTATCAATAAAAAATATTCTTGTTTATTACACTTATTTGTTAATTTCATAATAAAATATCATAAATGTATCTAATTTTGTTTCTATATTTTGTTTTTTATATTTACTTATATTTTAAAAATTTTATTACCCATGACTATATAGGTTGATCAATTTTACTCGGATGGTTGAATTTCTTAGATACTACTTTGATAAAGAATGGATTGGTTATTAAGTTAGTTTTAAAACATATGGGTTTATAGTGTTAAAAATATTGGCATAGATCTAATTAGTATCATTTATTAGTGAGAAATAATTTGATATATGTTTTAATAAGAGAAAATTGGAGTTAATACTTTAAATTATAAGACTTAATGAGAGGAGATTAAATGAGATGAAAAGTAATAATTGAAATTACATTTTCAACCTTTACAATTAAAGATGCACTAAATAGACAAATATGAGCATTTTAGTAGTAATTAAAATTGAGATTAAAATTATAATAAAATAACTTTTATACCATTTTTCAAACAATGAAATAGAAAATAATTTTAGTCCAAAACTTTGCATTTCCACTTTTATATTATATATATATATATATGAGGTTATATTTTTTTTATATCGAATCAAATGATGTTCTATATCGGCTTGGGGGGGCATCCTTATCTGAAATCAAAAGATCAAATTCTGATCTTGCAGCCCTAAATTCGATTCTTCCAGGTTGCAGTATATAACTTTCATTTTCTTGTGTCTCTGCAATCCTGATCTGCTAGAAACAGAAAAGTGTCAGACATCGATATTGTTATCAGATCAAAATATTTGGCAATTATACATGCCTGCCTCCTCGCTTTTTTGTGTGTGTGTTTGAGGAGATTAAACTGGATGTGGCTTATGTTAAGAAATTAAAATTAAATCAGAGGGTTTAGATTATGCTCTTCCTTCCTTTCTTCTCTGTTTATTTTTTTCTGAAATTTGTTTATTTGAGTGGTGGAAACAACAAATTTATAAAAGCTCCAAAAAGCTACCGACAGTGAGCGTATATCAGGTGGTCAAAAGTCATCCCATCAATCTTACTTTTGTCTTTAGTTCCAGCAGGGTCCTTTCTTGCCGCATCCTCCAAGTTTATGATCCATAAAGATGCTAAACCGTCCATTGTGTTTCCCCCTGCACTTCCACACTTGATTTGAAGTGATTTGAGTGTCAGGATTCACTTTTAACCAAATGATCAGGCGTTCGGTGCTCTTCCCCTGTTCTGGTCTCAATTCTCATATTTGGTGTTCTAAATCATGCCACCCTGTGAAAGCAAAATTTTTATCTTCTTGGTAACCCCAAAATTAAGTTAATCTCCCATGGGATCTTTTAATAGTCCCAGATTAAGCAATGTTATGCATTCAATAGTAAGACATGATTAGGATGGATGAGCGATGGGCTAATAACCCAAATTTTGCTAAGTCTATTAAAAAAAAGTAAACAAAATTTCTTTTCTTTTATAGCATCTCTTCTTTCTTTCAAAAGATATTATTATGATGAATGATGGAAGACACCCAATAACGTTCTTCCAGAATTGTCAAACGATGAAACCGGCTCTGAAGAGAAGGATGAGGAAGGATAACACAGTCTCCTGAGCTGCTTAAATCTTTCCATATCGAAATTCTTTCTCTCCATTAGCCGCTTCTGCTTCGCACTGAAACGGCTCGCATAGAATCCTTCGAAGGAAGGATCTCTTGATGTCCTAAGGAAGAATGCATAGCCCGCCATACAATAGATCGACGTGACATAGAAGCAAATGGGCTCCATCACGTCCCAAGATAGCTCCCAGAAAGTAAGCCTCATGAACCCCGCTGTCTGGACTATGAGAAAGCCCAGCCCAGCCCACAGCTCTCTCCGAACCTGCGCCTCTGCTTTTTCATCGATCTCCATTTTCTCCTTCTCCATTCGTTCGAGCTCTTTTCTTCTTGGGTCGTTCTGGTCAACCATCGACAGAGGAATTATGCTCTCGATCGCTTTTGTCACCTGTAATAAAAAATGTGGAAAAAAATCTAAACTTTGGGTAACTCCACCAAATGAATTACTTTTGGTCATCAGACCGATTTTTTTATCGGCTCCCAAATAAAGTTACATGGAAAAGGTCCAAACCCAAACCAAACAGGGCCTATCATTGATGCGAGGCAGTCTTCTGGTTATTTTTTTGGTGGGTAAATTCTTTTGTTTTTCTCGCCGAGTGACCAAAGCGGCGGTGGGAAACTAGAATATGCATTGGGCATTCCTTTTTTGAAAATTTAAAGTTCTCCATTTTCCGAGAGAAAAAAGAAATAAATTTTATTTTTTAAGGTATTTATTTAGTTGGAAGACAGGGAAGAACTTGAGCCAGCCAATAGCAGACGAGGCATCCACGTATCTCTCTGGACAAAACTTGTTAGAGGCAACCAGGATTTATTCACTGTGCCAATCCTGCTAAAGGAGGTTTAAGGCTTTTATGGTCTTTTCACCTAAGGTTAAAATTGGGTATCAAACATGTAACCTTTGTACACGTTTTTCTAGATCTGGCGACTTCAGGTTTCCTGTTGAAAAGAAGACATAAAAAATAATAAAAGAAATATCAGACTTAATCACAAAGAAGAAAAAGAAAATCTGAAAAAGAAAAAGAAAAAGAAAAAAATTACGTGTTGCTGAGGTTTCTGGTCTAGAGGTTCATGAACAGATTGAACTCAATCCTGTAAAAGAATATTAACCTAAAAGAGAAAATAAAGAAGAAAAATAAAGAAGAAAAATAAAGAAAAAGAATATTCACCTCTTCTGGCCGGAGGAAGACGCAGTCACCTAGAACAATAACGGTTCCAGATTGATCCAACATCTTCGCAAACTCCACACCTTGATCGGAATTAGAGCAACCTTCCATACAGATCTGAACAAATTCCGAATATGGAATAGAACTCTTTGGGATCTGTCTCAGTTTCGACTTTAACATTTCCAACTGCGATAGCCTAAGCAATTTACGCGCGTCTTCGACCGAAATCCCATCCCTAGAATCCGTCTGCGTCACTGGAGGAATCAAACCGTCTAATCGAAGACGGTCTTTGTTTACGCCCATTCCTCTCAGCTTCTCCATTAACTTATCTCCGATTGGCAGAGAACGAAGCTCTGACGACATTGCTGGTTGAACTAGCGGTCTCTTATGAAGGAATCTCCGGAAGAAGCCAYTCTCGCCGGAATCCGTTGAGGTGAGGAAGTCGCGTCGGAAGGTTGGGGTGGCGGGATTTGTGGGGACAATGTTTTCAAACGACTGAGAAGAGACAGGGGAGTGTGTTAATATTAGATTTGGGGAGGAGATTTTGGTTACATTGAAAAGACGGTGAACTAGGGTTTTTCTCAACGCCATTGATTTACAGAAGAACAGAACCAAAAAGAAAAAAATCTATATACAGAAACAGAAGAGGGAGAGGTGGAATGGGTTTCCTGTTTGGAGCTCCAGTTTTCGAGGATGTATTTGTTTGAACTGCATGAACAAAGGAGGCGTTGGGACTTGTTTATATAGGTCCCAAGGCGAAGGAAGTTTTAAAGGAGAAGAAGAGAGTATTTTATTAGGAGATTGAAAATTGGAAATAGTATACAATATTTTGAGTTAAAACCAAATACCCAATATTCTTCTTTTCCAAAGAAAATATAAGTAATATATATCATATTCCAAGGGAATTATGCTTCCTAACTATTTCAATTTATCGTATCTCGCGATAAAGAAAATAAATCGTTACATATATATAGAAAGATTTCGTCATTGGGGAAAAGAAAATTAATTTTCTTTTCTTTTTTTTTTAAGATGAGATTGTCTCTACGTGGTTTGGTTGGGTCCACGGCCACGAGGCACGAGCGAAAGACGGGGAGCTTGAAAAATCTGTTGAGCTGTTGAGAACCTCCTACACACAAACAAACCGTTTCCGGCAAGTCATCAGAATGGGATAGTGTTACGCGATTCACGTGAACCGGTGATCCAAGGCATTGGCACCGTTTGTTTTTTTTAAGTGGTTATATCAGAATAGTTGGGGATGGAGATGAGTCAGATGACTATCAGAAAATCGGTGGTTGGGATCAGACAGCTATGGCATATGATATGAGTTATGAGTTGTGAGTATGAGGAGATGATGGTCAACGATATCTGGATTGAGTGGAGGATGGGTGTACATGTCTATCATGCGGTAAAAGAAAGGAATAGATAAGTCGGGATTTACGTTATAAAACCAGTGAGGCATTGGCTGAAATTTGACGTGTCGCCACATAAGCGGTCTGATTTGTGAACTGAGCACATCCTTAAGCCTTAAGCAACAATTTTTTTTCTTTTAAAGCCCTAGGCCAAATCGATTCTTCAACATGATGCAAATACATTGTACGGATATTAAATGAGAAATCTATTACTGATAATCTGGGATATCTCATTCTTATTTATCATCAACGGTGAATGAAGAAATAATCAAATAGAAAAGAAAAAAGTAGGGATTGAAACTTGGGAGTAGGACCGTAGGACGGTAGGATGGGGTAGAATTGTAGAAACTAGAATTCTCCAGAAATGTTTAGAAAAATGAGTAATGAGAGCGCTGAACGCCTCCACTTGTCTCTGCTCCATCAGCCGCTTTTCAGCTTTCACTCGGTAATTCAGATTTCACTCGTGACTCAGAGCCATCTCAGTGATCTCTCAAGGCTCCACACTCGTTTCGTTTGTTCTTATCTTCGTTTCTCTGCCACAAATAAAATATCCTTCCCTCTAACTTGCTACACGGTCTATCCAGGCGGATCATGTCTAGCATTGATTAATAATAATAATAATAATAATAAGTTCGGCTAAGATTATGAGTTTGGACCATAAATTAGGAATGAAAGAATAATTTCTTTGTCATGTATTCAAATAAAAGGGGTATAAGTTGATTTTTATAATGGAGCAAATGTTATAGTGGCAAATGCTGTAAGACTTGGGATCAAATCCCAAGCCACCGTTGATTCATGGTCAAATTATGATCTTGAAAACTCTTCAAGAGCTAAAAAGGAGATGAGATAAGGGTTTTTATTTTTGGTGTAATCGAGTCTAGTTGAGTATCAAGCTATTCGAGCCCAAGCTCGACTAAAAAACATAGAGTTTGAAAATCAACTCGAGCTCGACTCAATTCGAGCTGTTTATAAATAAATTAATATTATAAATAAAAATCTATTTTGAAAATCAATTATAAATGTATTTATTTATATTATAGATAAGTTAATATCAAAAGATTAATATTTATTTATATTATAAATACAAATATATTAAGAAAATATTATTTTATTATTAGTTCGATTAGGCTCGCGAGCCACTCGAGTCAGTTATTGTGAATTTCAAACTCGAACTCAAACTTGACTTGACTTGAACTTGAACTTGATTACTCCAAGTCAAGTTTGAGTATTTAGTGAACCGAGCCCGAACAACTCGCGAATAGACCAGATTCGCTTACACCCTATCTTGAATTAGGCTGTTTAAAGATCAATGTAGATGGAGTCTTGAATAAAGAAAAGGCTTCTATGGTTTTGTAGTTCTTAATGCTGGTGGTTGTTGTTGGGGAGCTGGCTTTAGGCAGACTACTGTTAATTCTACATTTTTGGTTGCATCTAATGCTCTATTGGAAGCAGTTGTTTTCGTGATTGATAATGATTTGCAAAGGGTGATCTTTGAATTAGACTATGCTGTTTTAGTGGACAGCTTATCAGGAAATAGTTCTTGTGCACCTAATGATCTATTGTTTTGTGGGGAAGATGTTAAGGCCCCTTTAGCGGGAAGAAATTTCAGCTTTGTTAAAGTTTTTAGGGAAGCTAACTCTGCTGCCTGTGTTGTGGCAAAGTGTGGCTTCAATTACAATTTCAGATCTAGCATTGCGATCCCTTTTTGTCTGTCATTATCTTTAAGTTCAGACTTTGTAGGTTCTAGCTAGTTTTCTCTCTATCTTTGTTTTTGTGTAGTTTTTGTTTTCTGTCTTCTGCTTTGTGCCCTGTTGTTTTTCTTAATGCAAATACTTTCATATCAAAAAAAAAAACTCAATCTGTCACCAGTCACCACAGCCAAGTACATGCTTCTCTAATTTAAATAACAAAGGGAACAGCAAAAGATTAAACCAGCCTGTAACCTCATAGATTTGGAAAAGTACCCCCCATAAATTTTATTTTTCTTTTTGTGATTCAGATGCTTATAGCCTGTAAAACATGTTGCAGGTATGGGGGACTGAGAAACACATGAAGCGGGGATGAGTTAGGAGACCCCATAATTTGCCTCTGTTACTTGTTTCTGGACTATGATCCACTAATCACCATAACATTTTGCTCCAGGATTTTTTCTTAGGAGGGGCCAAAAGTTGGTAAACATGGGTTAAGGGACCAAATATATGGATGAGAGCCAAAATATAAGTGGAAAATAAATGGGGATAATGGGAATTTTTAATAAATATGGATGACAGCCAAAATATATGTATTATTTTATATTTTTTATTACAGTTTTTAATCGTTAGACTCTTGATTGTTGTTTTCTTACTTATGAACATGGTAAATTCTTTTGTTTTAGGTGTATACCTTTTTAAAAGTATTATGACTTCTTAAACTAATACTTGACAGGTGTAGGATTGAACAATGGTCGCTCTAGTTTTAGATGGTTTTGTGGATTGTTTGTTAAATAGTGATGGATGGTTTTATGAATATATAGTTTGGTACTTGTTTTTTAAATGCTATTGTATAGATTGATCATGTGAATGGTATTAGCGGTTCAGGTACACCTTACTTCCAATAAATTAATGAGAATGCCTGGAATCCTTCTTATATTGACAATTTAACTAAGAGGGTAGTGTTGAATGATGATAAATGTCCTTATTGCAATGGAACTTGAGAGGAAAGAGGAAATGTATCTCTCCAAGACACCTTATCATGATAACATTTTGACTGAGTTAGAGTATTTGAAGAATGTCATTTGCAATGAAGGTAGTACGTGCTTGGAAATGTTTAGAATGACTCTATAAATGTTAATTAGCCTACTAGGTGGATTGAGGCAATGAGGGTGATGAAAGATAGTAGATATGTATTAGGTGATGAATAGGTTGAAATTCTTTTAAAGGTCATAGGACACGCCAAATCAAATTAATATATTGCATACCATTTTATGCCAAGGAGTACTTTAATTATGTTCGTTATTCATTGAAGAATGTCATAGAATGTTGCTTCGATGTTCTAAAGGCAGGATTTTTAATACTAAAGTTGATGCCACCTTGTTTGCTTTATAAGCAAATTATAATTGTGTTTACTTGTGTGTTGCATAATTTGATAAAATTATCAAGAAGAATAGTTTCCTTCAAGATGGTGTTCCTGTTGAAGGAGAGGGAAGAATGTTTCATGGTGTAGCACTGACAACTATTGAAGTAGAATCTCAAGCATCTAGACAGATGGAACAAGTTTGAGATGAAATTATATTCAAATGACTGATTATTACAACTTACATGTAGGGGTGAAAATGGATCAGATCATGATCCAATCCGATCCTATTTGGTCAAATTCGGATAACCCCTATTCGGATCTTTGAATCGGGTCGGGTAATATGATTCGAGTAGAATCGAATCGGATTCAGATCACCCTTATCCGATCCAATACATATTACATATATATATATATATATATATATGTTATTTATTTATTTATAAATATATTTTTTGTATTATATTTGTATGAATTTGTTATATTATTTATTATTTTTATAAAAAACATATATATATATGATGAAAATAGTTAAAAAATACTTGTATTTTTTGTTTTTACTTTATTTAAATTAGTATATTTTAATTTTCTTTTAATAATTTATTAATTTTTAAATAAAACAAGTCGGATCGAATCAGATCTGAAGATCCGACTTACCGATAGGATTTGAATTCAAATCAAGTCCTATCAAATCTGATCGGATCGGATCCAACATGAATAGTGTTGGATTGGATTCAAATATACCTTGATTCGAATCTAATCCAATCCGTTTGCATCCCTACTTACGTGTTAATCAAACCTGTCTAAGAAGTAATTAGAGGAGGTAATCCAATTAGTTAGGGATTTGAAAGAATTCTTAAACAATTAATGCTTGTGTATTTTAAGTATAAGATTGTAACATTTGGTGTGTATTTGAGTGAAAGTCATGTGCTTATATTTTCAAAAATAATTTGTTAAGACATCTAAACTATTTTATTGTGATATGATGTTCAAATGTTTTGTTATTTAGTTATGGTTTTATAAATGTCTAACTGGCGAGATATTAATCTAATACATAAAGAAACTTATTTATCAATATTTGTGCCTAACATGGATTGAGAAATATTAGCACCAAAAATTTCTTCTAACCACATGAATATGACTTCGCCTGGGCATAGAACTACACCCCAGAATAACCTGAAATCCACATCATTGAACAACAAAATATTGCTCATGGCCATGCAAACATATATATGGGGTCCACTGTGGAAAATATGTGGAGTCCACAATATGGGGTATGCATAGATGGACTTACATGTGGGGTCCATTTGTGATAATTGCATGTGGGGCCTACAAGTGTGATATGCCCATATGGACATGTAT